GTATGATGCTGTCTGAGTTGGCCTTAAAACTCATACATGTTTATGTTGGTTAATTTTTTTCATTGTCACAGTTCTTAGATCTGAGAGGGGATCTTCTGACAACTGCTTCCTGGGACAAGACACTTAAGTTATGGGATGTCAGTATTGGCCAGTGTCTTCAAACTTTTATTGGTCATTTAGAAGGTATGTTTTCAGTAATAATGTAATGAGAAAGGTAATCAGTACAGTAATGTCGATTTTGTATAGCACCATATCTTCAGAGTACACTATGGCACTGAATTGGAAACTATTCAACAAGACTTTACAGTTCTTTAAAGTGACTGCATTTTAAGGTTGAATTTAAACTGTGAAATGACCCTTGCACTCTACCAGCATCATCATGATATTATACTGTTGATGACTATTATTATTGCATTTTTAATTTGTTATGATTTAATTTACAGTTGTATACTGTAGTCAGTTTGATGACAAGAAAGTTGTGACAGGGAGTGGAGATGGGGATTTGAGAATATGGGACATCTCATCAGGAGACTGTATGCATGTGCTATCTGGCCATGAGGCAGATGTGGTAGGAAAAAATGATAAATTTTCTTTCTAAGAAGAGCAGTAGACTTCTATATAAATATCAACCAGGATGTCCCACTCAGCAGAGTTATAGAATTATGTAAAGCATTTACAAAATATCAAATATAAATGTGATTATTTTTTGCAGTATTGTTTACAGTTTAATGAGGATGTGATTGTGTCTGGATCAGCTGATAGTACATTACGTCTCTGGAATCACGAAGGTAATGCAGGCACTTGAATGTGTATTCTCTAGAGGTCACAATGATCCCCGCAATCCTGTCTTAAGTCATGGGAGTCTCCCACAAATTAGCGTGTTCCTCTCTCCCACCCGTTGGCAAAAAGACTCTCAGAAGCTATCCTATCTCACTCATATTCAGATACATATTCAGGGGTGTAGGCTGGTTTTGGTCTTGGGTGGAAGGGGGAGAGGGTGGGAAACAGCTGGGGGAGGGGGAGGTGGTGCAGAAATTGAGAATACAGCACTAAATTTCTATTCTCCAATGAAAATTTGAAATGGTCATTTTTAGTATTTTAATCCACTTAGTGGACATAAATTGTTGTCATGTGGGGGGAGGTAATCTGCACCCACAACACCCAGCCTACACCCACAGCATGTTTTCACTCCTGAGTATTCCTATGAAGTAGGCTATGGGTATCATTGTTATGTACAGCAAAATGCAAAATGTTTTAAGAGAGCTCATGAAACCAGAACCCTTAGAAGTGGCTGCTCCCAACTTGGAACATTTACTCCCATGCGAGAAGAAAGCTTTAATCTGATGAGGTGAGGCTTTTTTAATACCTTGTTTAGTAAACTTATTTTTTAAAAGATTGTCAGAAAAAAAAAATATATAATTTGTGTTTTCTTATTTAGCAAACTGATTTTGTCAAAAGCAGAGGGGAAAATAAAAATAAAATGTCATTAATGAATATTAATAATACTTTTAAATTTATATTATTAGGGAAGAAATACATACTTTATTTTTAGAGATTTCATGGGAGAGAAGGGTGCAATAAAAATTAAACAAATTTTTTTTTTTTTTTTTACAAAAATTTCCATTTTTTGGTGGCAGAAGGTGCACTAAGTGGCCAAAAATAAATTTTATTGGCAGTCAGAGTGTTCGCTAACCAAGGTATAAATAGATCTTGCCTAATGTATTAAAACATTTCATAATGCAACCAAATCTGGTCGTTTGATAATGGATTAAATTAGATATGCCATCTTTTATTGTACCTTGGCTTTCCCATCATTTGATTATTATTACCATTTGCTCATTCACAATTATTATCTAATAGATTTAATTTGTTTTAGGAGCATGCTTAAATATCCTCAAGGAACATGTGGGAGTGGTGAGATGTCTTGCAATCAGAGGTTCTCACATAATATCAGGAGGTGATCGCAAGAAGATAGTTGTGTGGGATACTAAAACTGGTGAACTATTGAATGTGGTGCATCGCAATCCAACGTTACTTCATCTCATGTGGGTTAGCGATACAAAGTTGATCACGGCATCCCCCGAATCACCAGGAACCATCACAACAATCAGCTACTGGTGACCATTTGGAATCATTGGAAAGAGCAGAAAATTGGGTAAGTTGTCATGAGGAACAATTACGACAATGTGCAAGTGGTCACCATTCAAAGAGGAACCATCGGAACAAAGGCAACTGGAGAGTCTTGAGGAACCAAGAGAACATTGAGCAAATTGGGAGCATTCAAAATTACAAAGAGCTAGCTAAATGTTCAGCAGATGATTCAGAACCACAAGCCATTCATAACAGTGAGGAAGCACCATAACCTTACTGGCGTTCCTTCAGAATGACATCAGGAACCATAATGACATTAAGCAGCGGTGATGGTTCAAGTCATCCTTAGATGTTGTTGCTAAGGTAACAACTGCTTAAAGCTACGTACACCCGACCCGTGCCTTGTCGTGTTTGTGGAATAAGTGCGTAGTCGGGGCACTGTGCTGATTGGGTAGTTGTTCATTTTTATTGAAATCAGTAAAGTCTGTTATAAAAGAGAGTTTACCTCAGTTTTTGAGAAAAAGAATTTATGAATGCAATTTTCCAGGCTAGAGTTTAAAAAAAAAACCAAAAACAGGTTGCGTGCCTTTAACATCATAGAAATTTTACTGAACTTTTACAAAAATGCTTGTATCTTGATTGTAAAGTAGGCATACTAATCATCATAGCTCAAGACCAGTGGTGAGGTAGGGGGATGAAACCCTGAGGGTCAGGCCACTTCCTTGCTGGCCACAACATGATTGGAATGAAAAAGAAAATCTTTTTGGGCAGAATGTGCTCAAAAACATCTGAGAAGAGTTAATTGCCCAGATTTTCTAGGAGCTAGGGGTCAGCATCCTGCAGCTACACCCCACACTGAGTCTTTTCACAGATTCACTCTCCCCTTCAACAACACTTTGCAGTGGCTTTTCCTTGGGCTCTATGAAGAGTCAGTACAATGTAATATAATTCCTGATGATGACATAATTAATGTTGAAATATTGAATCCCAACACGATGGCGTGCATTTCTTGGAGTATGTAGTATACTATCTTTTGAGATTAATCAGTGGACCTTTCGGTTTTTGTAACATAATAGTTTTAACATTCATTTTGCTGTTTGATGAGATTGAAATAAAGTAAAATGCTTGGCTTGGGGCACATAGAAATAATTGTTAGATTATCACTACGCGTCAAAAATTTTGGAAATATTGATGAGGGAATGAAAAAGATTTTTTTTTTTTGCTGCATCATTTATTTCAACAGCATAGTAAAAAAATACAATTTGGAGACACTAAATACATTTTCTTTAAAAAAAAACAAAAAAACTATAAAGTTTTTATAAAATATTTACAATATCCTTGCCAAATAAAAACAGTCCCTCCCTCTTAAAAACAATATAAACAAGATAATTAGGCATAAACCTAGCCAGAGACTTATTACATAGGCAATACCAAAAGCCTAGTTAGCATAGTTGCCAACTTATAGGGATTGACCGTGAGACTCGCGGATAATTTATCATTTACCAGTTTTACTACGGATGAACAAAAACTTACGGATTTCAAGGTTACTCACGGATCAAGATTTTAAAACTAAGAAACAATAATTTGCGAACTGCATATATAGCAATATGCAATAAATAGATCATTTGCCATTCGTCTACAGTGTTTATAGTGTAGCAAAGGGTAATCCTAGCCTTTGTGCAAGCCCAGTATGCTCGACGTTAGAATCGTAAACAAACACCCTTTACGCCCGCTACGGTCAGCATGCTTTTATTACCTAGTAATGCGCATGGTTTGTTTATCTGTTTTCAGCATGAAAGTACTGTCTGTACATCGTGATTCATGAATAAAGTGAGTCCGTAAAAATTATTTTAATTTTACACCAAGCAACTGTCGGGTACTCATCTTAAGTTTACAGTACTGTACTTTGGTCAAATATAAATTAGTATATAACTTTCTGGTTTTTATTAAGTTTACATACATACACTTAATTTAGTGTCCAAGATCAATCAAATCAGTTGTGAAAATGCTCAGATTGAGCGTCAAAGGATTGTCAACCTGGTCCCCGAAGCCCCTCCCCCTGGCCCCCAGCCAGTGGCACGTTGCTACGCAACACAAATTCTCACAGATTTCTTTTGTTTAAAAAACGTAGGTCGAATATTAGCAACTTAACCTAGGCTTACATAATTAACATTTTATAATCCAGGACTAAAAAAAAATTATGAGAACCCAGGCTTTATTTCGTTGAATATTTCTTCCGCTGCATATTTTTAATTATTATTTGAATGTTTATATTGATTGTTCAGATTGACCTGGTGCAATTTCACTTTTTGGAAAGATAGTCTATTTTGAACTGTAGTCTTTATTAATGTAATGCACATATTGCGATACAGTACAATTTCAAATGAAAACATGTATGTAATGCAGATGGGTTTTAATAAAATTTATACCTTTTCTTTATCAGTCCAGATACCAGGAGAATATTTGGTGGAAGCAATGCAAAAGATCCTCAGTTTCAAAGTCACTACTCAGTAACACATACAGGTGAAAGAAAACAACAAGTTGCACAACGTCCAGCATCTAAACACAGACACAATAAACCTCATCCTGAAAAAGTGGGTTTCTTGAAACAAGATTGTCATCTGCTGCATCAACCAATCTGTCATGTCAACACTAAGATACAGGTTAAGGATGCCAAGGAGATGCATTGGTGGCCCTCAAGGACTTCGGAGGAACCTCTAAAGAAAACCGAATACAGCGACAATACAACAAATAGATCAGAGTATTGCAGAATACCACGTGAGAAATGGCCCCAACACACTACAAGACATGGCAGTAATCCAAATTATACACCTGCTCTTGGCATAGGTATCTTGTTATGCATAATAATCTGGCCTGTATCCAGGGAAGTGGGGCGTACAATGCCGTAGCCAGGATTTTCAAACAGTGTTTGACAACATCAGGATGGCCCAAATTTACGCGTAAATTCAAATACCGTAAAATGTGGACCAATTTTCTTAAATGCTGACCCATTTTACGAAAAAATATGAAAAATTGTGTGGAACTGTCCCAATATCTGGCTACGGCATTGGGTGCGTGAGATCACGTCCCCACAATTTGGAAAATATGAATGTTTTTAAGACAGTTGAGAATGTATGGAAAGCAAAATTTGTTATTTTGTGTAAATAAGATTAAAAGGGAATCGCTTTAACCAAGTAATCTATTTTTAGGCCAGTATTTGGGCATTGAATTTGTAGCAAGGCAACCCCTAACCCCAGATGGCCTATTTTTTCACACCTCCTGCACCTCCCTCCCATTGGCAATACTGGTTACAGCCCTGATATAAAGTAACAGTCACTGCTTTTAGTAAAATATAATTTTCATTCAATAATATTCTGAAAGGTATTAATATGATTTAAATATTAATGATTTATTAAAGTAGTAACATTTACAAATAATAAGTACAGTTAAAGAAACAAATAATACTTCAAATAGCAAAAATAAATCTGATAAAATGATGATGATTATAATTACATTTATTTGAAAATGGGTTGACAATAAGCATACAATGTCTAGCTTGGATACTATAATTGGCACAATTTTGAGGATTAAACCTAATGTTATTGCTAATGTGTATTATTCTTTTTATTGTCAAGAAGGTTGTTTGGGTAATTCAATTTGAAATAACATAATTGCCTCTATTTTATGAAAGAATTGCCACAGAACACAGTAACTAACAACACTTTTGTAAATTTCATCAGTTCCAGTGAATCACCTGCCTGCTGAGAATGGCCCGCGTTTATTGGTTGAGAGAATCTCTTACAGCCACCAATACGATTCAAGGACAAAACCAAATGAGCCAATCAGAGGAAAGGTAAGCAAATTATTGACATTAAAACCTTTTTTTGATAAGAATTACTTGAAGTTGTTGATGTAACTTGTATTAAATGCCACCTGCTTATTCTAATTTTAAACTGAAAGCAATTAACTTTAATATTTAGTGTATTATATTTTTCTTTTTTTTTCTCAACACAAAACAGCACTGTATCTTTATTTTTCAACCTATTACAACATTTGTACATTAATTTTTGGATTTTTTAGATCCTGATTTACCAAAGATCATGTTATGTTTTTGTCATTTAATTCTATTTTGTGACAACAGGGGAGGTTTCTGCCATATGTCTTAAAATGTTCAAATGCAGAAAGCTGCCTTACTGTGGGGTGTTTTTTCATACAGGTGTGATAGCTATATGCACGCTATCAACATTTATGTGACAACTACCCATGATTTGCAAATATATGGATAGGATGTGACATCATCATGCCCATATATAAATTTGATATGAAAACATCATGCCTATACAGGCAGTGCACACAAAGATGTGACATAAAGTGTTGATATTGTGCTATTATTGAATATTATAGATCTAGTTTGTGTAATTATCTCACTTTTTCATTGTCCCCAGCTACATGGCAGCCTTGTCTGGGATACACTTTATCCGGTCACTAATCTCAATGGTGCTAATGATGATGGATCTTCCATGCCTCCAGCAGCTTCTCCCTGATAAATCCACATGGTGCTTAACAAATGAATTCTATTGTACTTTTGGAGTATACATATATAGTTTATATTTCATACTTTTATAACCTATTTATTATTTCTAAATCCATTGAACAACTTTGGCACTTGGCTTTCTAAAGTCCTTTTATATATTTTAGTTTTACATTTTCATAAAACATTAAGTTATAATATTTTATATGATATTGAAATCTTCTTTTTTCCATTTCATTTGCCTTTTTATTTCACAATTTATTGCAATAACAATACTTATTAGACTTCATATAATTTTTAAAGTAATGCTATTTACATAATTTACAAGTCATTAAAATTAATACTGTATATTTCAGGAGCTACAATATCTCCAAAATTCTGGTTAAATAATCATAACATTTTTTGGTGTACATACAGTTATTTCAATTGATTACACTTCTAATAACTCTTGTATTGTATTATATGTTGTACAGTATTTCAATGAATGCAGTTAAATATAAATTTTTATCTGTTTATTCTTGGTACACTTGAAGTTACGTAGAATCATTATCAATATTATGTGCACTTATATTTTCTAACTAAACTACCTACAGGTTGATTTGCTGGCCATGCACAAGCTTTCCTTTAATTCTCCAAGCATCCTAAAAGAACATAAAAGTATCAAATATTATTGTTGTTACATTGTGTGCATTTTAACCGGTTAATATTCTGCCACTTCGACTGTATGCTGTAATTTGTTCATATACTGATGTTAGTACACTATAAGCCCACCCAACATTTTCCTGGACAATTAGCTACTGGGTGTAACAAGGATTATGAGATAGCCTAAAGCCCAATAGCCTAAAGTGTGAGTACTTGTTTGATTCAGGCAGTTCACAAATTTGATGTTAAGGCCAGTAAAAATCTAATGTTTTGCCAAATCACAGGAACAATTAAAAATGGGGGCTGTTTATTCTGTAGGCACTGGCAGAATTGTAAAATTCATGCGGTTTCTGTTTATTTAAAATTTTAAATTAGTTAGGTATGGCGCAACTACCTGCTTTAGTACAACTGTTCATATGTGTGTATGGCATTATGCTCAATTATATAGCAGGGTTGTGTGATTTGTTGATTATCAAGAATATTGTAGTAGTGAATTTTCCATAGCAATGTTTGAAATGATTGTTAATATGCAGTAAAAGGAGTATACTATTATAATACTCTCTTCCATGTTTCTCCCACCGAAAAAAACCCCCTACGATCAAGTGTAGTGATTAATAAAGATAAATGAAAAATAATATACTCACATCAAAATTGAAGTCTACTTCACTTCCAAGTCGTTTCTTGACAATTTCATCAACCTCCTCAGCTATCGTCTGTTGTGATGTTCCTCTTACATCAATATATTCACATTCAGATGCAGCATAGTGGGATGAAATAGCCTAAATTAAATTATATATTAATAGGGGGAGCTGTTTACAACTGACATTAATACAGTACAGTACTAGCATTTTTTTGTTATCATGGCAGGTTTTTAAAATCACATTGGGAAGATTAGTGAAATTAATTTTTTTTCAATGTACAATTCAGCACAACACAATATTAATGTATTAAAAAATCCACACCTTTCTAAATGCTTGTGTTCTATTGGTTCCAGATCCGTGCAGGAGTAGGGGATGGAAAAAGACAACATCACCTTTCTGCATTTCTAGATGAACACGCTCTTGATCTGGTGTGTAATCCAAAACACCATGGTACATCTTGTTCACACCTCCCTGTTAAAAATTTTTTTAAAGCAAATTTACATAACATTTATTTTATGAAAAATGATGCAAGAAATCTTTGGATATTATTATTAATCCCATAAATGGACAAAACTTCAAAGTAGCCCTGAAAACAGTTTAAAACATCAAAAGTTGGATAAAATTATGGGAACCTCTCAACATGGGCCCTGAAATTCTATTCCATGCCATTTTTATCCCTGATTTTGCTTTCTGACCCTGTTCCAGAACATGGTAGTATATTAAGTTTGAAGAATTTTTTCTTTTGTTGAACTTACCTCCCACTGGGGGTAACCATGCTCCTGCAATTCCCCCTTATGAGAACCTGGTACTACCACCAGGCATCCATTGGAACGATCAACTTTCTCCATGGCACACCAAGCACAAACAATGCGCTCCGCGGGACGGAAGGGAAAGTAATGCAGGTCCTGATGCATCGGGTGTCGAGAAGTCTTGGCACCTAAATAAGAAAATTACTTTACACCAAAATTCATCTTGTTCTACCATATAAGTTTGGAATGTAAAAATCAAGTAAAGTATCTAGGTGGGTGCAAGTTCACCCTCCGCAAAAAATGCTTGCCCCCCCCCCCCCCCCCGGGAAACGTTTGAAGAAAAAAAAATTACTATTGTATGTACAGTAGTTAAAAATCACCTTATTTTGCAAGTTACCACCCCCCTCTATTAAACATCAAGCCCTCCCCAATTCACCCCCACCTGCAAATTCAAGACTCCTAGGATACACAACTGGTAACAATGAGAGGCCCTGGGGAAAACTTCAAACTAATATCACTTGTGCATTGGAATATTATTGTTTTACATTTCTCATCAGACGAGACTTTTTTTTTATACCTTGTTTCGTGAACTTATCTTTTTAAAAATCGTCAGACGGAAGAGAAAATAAAAATAAAATTATATTCTTGAATGTAAACAGTGAAGAAATGGGATGATTTAAATTTATATAATTAGGAAGAAATATACATATCTTCCAGTTGGAGATTTCAAGACAGCGCCAGGTGTAATAAAAATAAAGAAAAACTGGTTTTTCTGGAATTTCCAGTTTTATTTGTGGTGGCGGGTGTGCCAAGTGGCCAAAAATAAAATTTTGTTTTTATTCGAAATCATCAATATTGATGGGCAGCAGGTTCGCGAAACAAAGTATAAAAAAATCCTTGCCTCATCATTCTAATACACATTACCTGTATCAGGTGGTTTGTTGATCAACATTGTATGCATGGCCATGATATTTGGGCCTGTAAAACATTCTACATACTTCACAATCTATGAAAACAAGACAGCAGAAACAAGACATCAACATAAGATAGAATATTTTCTTTTTTCCAAACCAAAAAATTGAAAAATTTAATGGTAAAAATTACCTTGACAGTTTCACTGCTCTTTTCACGAGCAGCTTCTTCAGAAGAATGACTATCAGTAACTAAACAGACTGACATCTAGAGGGCCGATTCTGTTTAATTACAGGGTCATATATGTGACTTAATTGGTGTGCGCCTTCGTCTTCGGATCCAAATGGCCTCCCTGATAAGTCTGTAGTAGGTGTCCGGTTCTATATCAATGATTTTGGGTTGAGCCCAGTTTATGACCTGATTAGAGTGCTATGGCTGATTTACTCAATTCTCTTTCTGATTCTCTGAAGTTTTGACGAGTAACATTCTTCCTCTGTTAGGTTTACCCTTTCAGTTTCTTTTCTATGTTTTTTTTTATACCTACTACCTACCCTATTTTTGGGGCCCATTACGCCAACATAATTTTTTTTAGGCCTTAGTAATATAATAGTCCTCTACTACTATGACTAAGAAGGATTGAAAAGTTATATATATTTAAAAATTAACATAAAAGGAAGTGGGTGGGGGTCAAGCAAATAAAGCGCGACTTTTTTTATTCCTTGTTTCGCATACTTATTTTTTTAAAGATTATCTGAGGAGAACGGAATAAAAGTAAAATTTTGTTTTCTTATTTAGCAAATAGTTTTGCCAAAATCATCCAGATGGAGGAGAAAATAAAATTTTATTGGTGAATGTAAAATAGGATGGTTAAATGCTTCAAATTTATATAATTACGAAGAAATATACATACAGTATCTTATTTTTGGAGATTTCAAGGCAGCGGCGGGCATAATAAAAATAAAGAAAAACTTTTTTTTTCCAAAGATTTCTACTTTTTCGTGGCGGCGGGTGTGCTAATTGGCCAAAAATAAAATTTTGTTTTTATTTAAAATCATCAATATTTGCAGTCGGAGGGTTCGCTAAACAAGGTATAAAAAAAGTCGCCTAATTAATATTCTTTACATGGCCTAGTATTACTGGTACATTTTGCACCTGTGAAGACAATAATCTAAAGCTCTTTCTACCTGTGGAAGTGCGCAGAACTCAAACAAAACCGGATCAAACTGGAAGTCTTGGATTTTAGTGATTGCTCGTTCTCCCACCACAAACTCAGACTTTGCTATTGAAACATCTTTCATTATGGTCAAGGCTGGTACTTTTACAGTTCCATTGCAAATACCCCGAAAACGTGCACTAAAATCAGCAAAATAAAATGTGTAATTAACAATAAAATTAATAAAAAAGAACAATAAATAAAATGTCAACATTAAATTGCTCAATTTAAAATAATAACTACGCTTTCAACTATTAATGTGACAAAGATCAAAAATAATATTTAGTTTATTGCTGATTTCCAGACATTTTTTATTAAGAAAATTCTTAAATTGATGAATGGTTATAGGAATACATGTCTCCCTCCACTTTTGAAACCATGTTTCCATGGTCTTTAGCAGCTTTGATCTGTAAATAGATTAATAAAGATAAAAGAAATTTGTTAATTTGGGACCACAGAAAAGTGGTCTTTTAGAAGTGGTCCTTAATTAAAGGAATCTTTAATTAGAGGGAGAACTGTAGTAATATTACCAGTTACTGATTGTCTAGCTCTAATTTTCAATAAAAAAAACACAAACACGTTTAAACAGAATATATCCACAAATTCACTATGAAATGTCATATACAATAGTTCATGATACAATAGTTCATGATAACAAGTTCTACATTTGTTGTTAGACATGGACCAGAGGTCAAAAAGGTGATAATAGTTAACAATAGCATTACAAGGTCATCAAGACAAGATTAGAGATCATTGGTATAAACAGACAACGGTACAATATCCAAAGATACACAGTACCAGTATCTGTCAATATCATCTGACTTCACCAAATCCCTGATGACGAGGAATCCATCCCTTTCATAAGATTCACATTGCTGTGGTGAGAGAAGTAAGTTTTTGTTTAATACATATTGGATATTCTGATGATGTCCAAGAGAAGCAGATACAGGGTATGGAGTCTGAGAATTATGTTAAGGAGTCAACTTGCCAAAAAACTCATTTTATTTCTCCATTTCGTAGATTGCTGGTCAATGCGAAGCTTTTTTTCCATGGCCTTATTATAAACAATCATTATAAATGTATATTATTTAACACAAAATCAGATGACCTTACACAACTTAGGGCCCGTTCGAGCGAAAAAATATCTGTACAATTTACCAGTTAATTCACCGGTACACACCTTCTAAAACCGCTCGGACACTAGTCTAATTACCTTACCATCTGGTTTATCCGCGACAACTTTGACCACCAAATTGCTGGGTAGAATACCGTGTATGGAATGACCATGGAGCCGGAGGTGATGATAAATCAACCTTAATTGTTTTTCAAAATGTTTTGTCCACAGCCCAGCGCGAAATTCAATAGGTTACGGCCCAGGCGTGGTTGCAGCTCTCCTTCGCCTCCTCACACAATGCACGACGAAATCTAAATTTAGTAGCATAGCTACGCGTTCGATTTGTAGATTTACCATTATTCGGAGAAATAAACTTGAATAAACTAGCCTACGCACAGATTTTAAAGCAGCCATTATAAGTTATTGAGCTACATTATCATTTCACCGTGCCGCGCTGTGTGTACGTGGGCCGGTTAATAGCAGCAGTAGCAAGTAAACAAAGAATGGGGTGTTGACCATGGGATAAGTTGAAATTTACTTCCGGAGTAGTTTCGTTACACGTATTTACCTTGAGCTAAAACTTGCTCGAACGGTCGACCAACCGCTGAGTGCTTAGCGCGATTACCCGGTGAAATAAACGTAATATGGTTGGCGTTTTTTGCTCGAACGGGCCCTTACTGTACCCAGTATATAGTAGGCTAACTGTACAGTACTGCTGTGTAAAGACTAGGCCTAGGTTGTAGTAGTAGTAGTTATCAGTAGTACTGTAGTACAGTACTCTACCATTCAGTACTTATTATTTGGCCATTTCAGTCTGAAAAAGCAGTCTAGGGTTTCAACTGTCCGACTACCTTACCTTTGTGCTGCACTAATGCTGCACTAACAAACTACTGAAGGCAAAGGCTAAATAAATACAGTAAAACCTCGAATTGAAACCCAATGGGCTTAATCTCAAGATGAAGCCCATCTCGAATTGAAGCCCCCTCTTTAGCTTGCAAAATTAGCCTCGAAAAGAAGCCCATGCCCATGGGCTTCTTTTTAAGTCCCCTCTTTTCAAGATGGCATGGGCTTCTTTTCGTGATAGTACAGTACATACACTGTACATGAATTTAAAAAAAAATAAATAAATAAATTAAAAATAAGCTTGGTTTCCCTTGGTTTACATACAGTAGTTTTGGTGATTTCAATGCCAGTTAAATACACTCCATCATGATACTAACTTATGTTTTATAGTGGCCTTATATTGTTTTATAATACAAATTTACAAGAAATACCGCTTCTTTTTGAAAAGAAGCCCCCTCTTTATTTTGCAAAAGTAGCCTCGAAAAGAATCTTATCCAAAGTTCGCTAAAAAGAAGCCCAGGGTTTCAATTCGAGGTTTTACCCTATAACATAATAGAGTAGGCCCAACCGCTGCGCCCTGGGCAGAGTGGAAATGCCCAGTGTGAGAGGGCCTAACAATAACATTTTAAGAACAAGCTAGGCCTAGTCTGAAAGGTAGGCCTCTACTAGGCCCTCTAGGCCTAGTCTTATTTCAGTTCACTATAATAACACTAATAATAATGATGGTCAAGTTGACTAAATCTTAAGGATACAATTGATCCTGCTGTAACATCGTTTGGCCTCCGAAGATGGGAAGTGACAACTTTCAGTCGGTCCATATTTAAATTCTCGCAAGAACCTGACAGTGGCTACTTTCTATTTTGGGAGCACAGCAGTAGTAGACGTACGTCGTCTCTCGAACCAACTCTATGACAGCCGCCCTCTACAGTAAATAATGAAATGCAGGTACTGTACTTACTTTTTTATAGGAGAGATATCATTTATTTCATTCCGTTTGTCTCAATAAAAAAAAACAAACAAACAAACAAACAAAAAAAAAAAAAAAAAACAAAACAACCGGTTACAATACAACATAGTAAAAGTATAAAATATCTGAAACAGGCCGAGACAGTATTCCTAAAAGTAAACCAAATCACTATCAAGTAGGTCTCCTAATGCACTATTCCGATTACGCTTAAATAATAAAATGAACAATTAAATTAACACTTAAAATCAGTAAAATTTGCCTTAACAATATATATATATATATATACTGTCTCTTATACACATCTAGATGTGTATAAGAGACAGGTGTGTACGTGGGCTGGTTAATAGCAGCAGTAGTAAGTAAACAAAGAATGGGGTGTTGACCATGGGATAAGTTGAAATTTACTTCCGGAGTAGTTTCGTTACACGTAATTACCGTGAGCTAAAACTTGCTCCAACGATCGACCACCCGCTGAGTGCTTAGCGTGATTACCCGGTGAAATAAACGCAATATGGTTGGCGTTTTTTGCTCGAACGGGCCCTTACTGTACCCAGTATATAGTAGGCTAACTGTACAGTACGTACTGCTGTGTAAAGACTAGACCTAGGTTGTAGTAGTAGTAGTTATCAGTAGTACTGTAGCTGTCTCTTATACACATCTAGATGTGTATAAGAGACAGTTGTATGCATGGCCATGATATTTG